GTCAGTCCCGTGCGTATGGTAGGTAGCTTGGTGCACGGAGGTCTAAGTCACGTTGTGGTCATACAAATGCCTCGATGGTTCACATCACATGGCCACTCATTCACACAAACAGAGAAATAAATATATAAATAGATAGTTAGAGGAGGAGAGAGCAGCTGTTGTATCTTGGGCAGCACAGGTGCAGGCGGAGTGACAGTTGTAAACACAGCGCCTGTGTTTTCGCTGACCGCACAGTCACAGAGAGAGAGAGAGAGAGAGAAAGAGAAAGGGCGGGAAGGCACAGCACACCACACACAAACCCCACAGAGGCCGCAGTGGAGGGGTCCAGCAGCACAAAGCCCACTTCCCACCCACAGTCCACACACACACAATGGCACAGACAGCCGCACACGCACACCCTCACATGCTCATATCAGAGAGGCACTGCCGCATTCCCTAAAATGCACACGGAGCCACACACCTGCAGAGAAGAGAAAAGAAAAACAAAAGAAAAGAACAACAACAACAACAGGATACCAACAGCACACAAGGCACTCACAATACAATAATCACAGGTGCCACTCTCATCAGAGAAAAACATTCACCCACACCAAAACATCAACTCAACCCCAAAAAGGAAGAAAAAGAAAAAAAAAAAAAACAGACCCATTACGTGAAGCCGAAGCGGAACAGTCTCAGTCCCTCCCCGCAGGCTGCAGTCACTCAAACAAGCCACACAATAAAAAACAAACAACACACACCACAAGGGCAGAAATATGTTCGTGGCAATGCCGTGAGTGACAACACCGAGAGAGAAGGTGAGAACAAAGAAATGTGTATTTATTACGTGGGCGGTGCGAGCAGCACGCTGAACACACACACAGAAAAATACTCAAACACCAACAACCCATCGATCTTTATACCAAAATAAAAATGTAAAAAAAGAGTGACTGCGTGAGGCAGACACAATAAAAGAGCAAAGATGTAAAAGAAAAAAAAAGAAACTCATTACTGACTGTGGCCGCGATGCCTGGACACAGTTCAATCCACCCCAAGGTTAACAACAGAAAATCATTGTGTACTGAACGTGCCGTACCCATAACTTGATTCTTGACGTCCCTGCAGCAGTTTGTATATAATGAGAAAAAAAATCAATTCAAGAAAATGAACACACAAGATACACAAGGTGTATCGGAAACGCAAAAGAGAAACACACAGCTGCACATATAACGTGCAATGAAATTATAATGAAACACACACACACAAGGGAAAAACAATATAATGAAAACAAACAAAATGAAAGCTGTGACCACCAAGTGAATATCTTCAGGAGGCAAGAACACAATTCCCAGCAGTAGGTGTGTGTGTCTTTCGTAAAGGGCAACCAGTGGGAATGATGCACACATGATGACAGTCCATACACACACACACAAAGAGAAGGAAGGTTGGTAGTGTGCGTGTTTGTGTGTCTTGAACCTCCTGCCATTCTTCACATTTCAGTCACAGTCATTAAAACATGTTGGGGAAATATCCCATTTCCATAGGTAAAAGCAATAGAGTTATTAATATCACGGAACACACATATACACACTTCACTAGGCGGGCACAGTAAATGGCGGCAAAGCAGAGCCCAGATAATGCCAACAAAGAGGAGACTCCCTTACATAATAATGGTTTCGTCGTCTGATAAGTGCCATAGGGAGTCCAATAGATTCGTTCAGCAAAAAAGAGCTGGACAAAAAAATTTATCGAGCTGAAAAACAAAAAAAAAAAGGCCAATATCCAAACAAGAAGAAAAGTGCCCTTGCAATGCATCCATATCCACTCAAAGAAAGGTTAACTGCGCAGTTGCACCACGGGAACAACGATCAGCAAACGAGAGTGCAGCCCAGCACACACATCGAAACAAGAAGGAGCAATAAGGGACTGTGCACCAATGCAGGACTGCTGCTGCTGTCACTTAACTGAGAGATATTCAAATGGATTGAAGCTGAAGAAGTATTAGTTAGCATATTTTGTGACGAAGTTCCAGAAGCAGATGAATGACTGGACGTTGGAGTGTTGCTCTGAGAACTATTATTATTCTCTTGTGTTTCAACTTTGCCTTCTTCATTTTGATTCTCAGAGCCCTGTTGATTCTGCTGCTGTTGGGCATTTGCATGGCTTCCCGTCTCAGCTTCTGTGGAATTGGTATTCTGGTCTTTTGTCTCCTTTTCGTTCTGTTTATTTGGATGTGAATCGTCTAACTCCTTATTATTGTGTGGTGAGTTCTCACCTTCATTTGTTGTGTTGGTTTCAGAAAATCTTCGTTTCTCCTCCTCAATTTCACGATCCAGCTCTTCTTTCATGTCTGGGCATTCTAGGTAAGTTTCATTAATGATTCTCTGAAGTTCCGCTGCTGCATCGGAGGCAACTGCTGCCTGTTTCTTGGCCTCCTCCGCTAAACTGTGAGCACTTTTAGTAACCTCACTCACATCCATAAGAAAAGTCTGTACTTCCTCCACTTTTTTCTTGCACTCGTCAGCCAATTCCTTTATTTTTTTCTTTTCCCCTGAGACACTGGTTTCCTCTTCCTTGTCAATATGTTCATTAACAATCCTCTCAACATGATATTGCGCACTTAGCAAAACCGTTTCCTCTTCTTGAATTTCATGCGCCGTATTGTTTATTTTATTAGCTGTCAAATTTGCTTTTTCAGCGGCATCAGTGATCTCTTTTGCTGCATCTACTGCCTTCCTTAACACTTCTTTCAATTCACTCATATTCTTATTCTCATTTTCAGATAGATGCAAAACACGGCCTTTAGTATCTACAAGAAGCTTTTCAACTTCTTTGGCTGTCGTTGTTGCACTCTGAGCACGATTCGACGCTTCACTCCATTCTTTCGTTACGGTTTTTACTGACACACGCAAAGTCTCAACTTTTTTCTTCTCCGCTTCCATCTTTGCTTTCAAATATCCCATTTCCATTAATATACCCTCTTCCACAGAATGAGTTGAGGTCGTATCACCTTGCGCATATGCCACACACGTACAGCACTGCAGAAGTACCAACAGGTACACCACGCGGCGCAGTTGGACGAACATCGTTGTCATGATTGTCACTGTGGGTTGCTTGGGTCTGTGGTAACAAGGAAGAAGAGAAAGAAACAACAAGAACACAAAGAGCAGCGCAAACACAACATCTATACACATCTATACAGACACACACACGAAAAGCAGCGCAGTACATGAAGCAGAAAAGAGAATAAGGGGAAAGAAAACAAGAAGAAATATTCCCCCATCAGGTGCAGAACAAACCAAGCCCATGTGACTGCACTCCACAGACACACAGACATGTCTCTTACCAAACCCCAATACAATTAAAACCCGTGTATATATATATAAACATATATATAAACAAACAATAAATTATTTCACTCCCTCTTTAGGAGCCTGCATCACCCAATAAGTACATTTGGTACAAACGAGTATGCAGTCAAATGCCCAACAATATAGCTACAGTGAGGGAAGGGGAGACAAACAAAACGAAAAAAAATTACACAGTGAATTCAATTACAACAAAAAACAAGCACACACAAGAGAGGGGAAAGTATATATATACATATATATATCAATAGCTCTGCAGATGGCTGCGCACACTCGCAGGTACAGAACAACAGTCCACCATCGCAGCAGCACACCACACGTGTGCACGGGAACAACCAATGCTGCAGAAGGGAAACAAAAGTATATAAGCCAGGGGTGGCGCACAGAATTCCAGAAAAGAAAAACCAAAAATAATAAAAACAAGTACACATGCCTATAAGGCCAATAGACCTCAATGAACCCCAGTCAAGCAATCATCAACGGTCAGTGCGTCCCTGCGCTGCAATATCAATCAACCCACACGTCATGCAGAGAAAGAAACACGCAAAGAATATAGAGGGATTCACCTTCGCCACGCACACGCCCACCAGCAGCTTCCATTAGAACACCGCAGTGCAGCCCAGCACACACATCGAAACAAGAAGCAGCAATAAGGGACTGTGCAGCAATGCAGGACTGCTGCTGCTGTCACTTGACCGTGTATTATTCAAATGGATTGAAGCTGAAGAAGTATTAGTCGGCGTATTTTGTGATGGCGAAGTTCCAGAAGCAGATGAATGACTGGACGTTGGAGTGTTGCTCTGAGAACTATTATTATTCTCTGGCGTTTCAACTTTGTTTTCTTCATTTTTATTCTCAGAGCCCTGTGGATTCTGCTGCTGTTGGGCATTTGTATGCCTTCCCATCTCATTCTGATTATTTGGAAGTGGACCGTCTAACTCATTATTATTGTGTGGTGGTTCCTTACCTTTATTTGCTGTATTGGTTTCAGTTATTCTTCGTTTCTCCTCCTCAATTTCACGTTCCAGCTCTTCTTTCATCTGATGGTCCCGTTCGAAAATATCATCAATGATTTTCTGAAGATACGCTGCTGCAACGGAGGCAGTTGCCACCTGTTTCTCGGCCTTCTCCACTAAACTGTGAGTACTTGTAGTGACCTCATGGACATCCATGAGAAAAGTCTCTACATCCTTCGCTTTTTTCTTGCACTCTTCAGCAAATTGCTTTATTTTTTCCTGATCCCCTGAGAGACTCGTTCCATCTTCATTGTCAATGTAATCATCAGCAGTCCACGTAAGATGACGTATCACTTTAGCCAAATCTTCTTCCCCCTGTTGAATTTCCTCCGTCAAATTGCTTATTTTTTTAGCTGTCAAATTTGCCTTTTCAACAGCATCAGTGATCTCTTTTGCTGCATCTACTGCCTTCCTTAACACCTCTTTCAATTCACTCATATTCTTATTCTTATTTTCAGATAGATGCAAAATATGGCCCGAAGTATCAATAAGAAGGTTTCCAACTTCATTGGCCGTCGTTGTTGCATTCTGAGCACGCTTCGACACTTCATTCCATTCTTCCTTTACGGTTTTTACTGACACAAGGATATCCTCAACTTTTTTCTTCTCCTCTTCCATCTTAGCTGCCAAATCTCTCATTTCTTGTTCGATATTCTTTTCATCAGCTGTCATGGAGGCCGTATCACCACTTTGCGCATATGCCACACANAAGCAGATGAATCACTGGGTGTTGGAGTTTTGCTCTGAGAACTATTATTATTCTCTTGTGTTTCAACATTGCTTTCTTCATTTTTATTCTCAGAGTTCTGTTGATTCTGCTGCTGTTGGGCATTTGCATGGCTTCCCGTCTCATTCTGTTTATTTGGATGTGAATCGTCTAACTCCTTATTATTGTGTGGTGAGTTCTCACCTTCATTTGTTGTGTTGGTTTCAGACAATCTTCGTTTCTCCTCCTCAATTTCACGATCCAGCTCTTCTTTCATGTCTGGGCATTCTAGGTAAGTTTCATTAATGATTTTCTGAAGTTCCGCTGCTGCATCGGAGGCAACTGCTGCCTTTTCCTCGGCCTCCTCCGCTAAACTAAAAGTACTTGCGGAGTCCTTTTGTACATCCAGAACGAAATTCTCTACTTCCTTCGCTTCTTTCTTGCACTCTTCAGCAAACTGCTTTATTTTTATCTTTTCATCTTTTTTGTCAATGTGATTATTAGCAGTCCACGTAAGACGACCTATCACTTTAAACAAATCATCTTGCCCCTGTTGAATTTCCTGCGTCAAATTGCTTATTTTTTTAGCTGTCAAACTTGCATTGTCAGCGGCAACAGTGATCTCTTTTGATGCATCTACTGCCTTCCTTAACACCTCTTTCAATTCACTCATATTCTTCTCATTCTCATTTTCAGGTAGATACAAAATACGGCCTTTAGTCTCCATAAGAAGCTCTCTAACTTCATTGGCCGTCGTTGTTGCATTCTGAGCACACTTCGACACTTCACTCCATTCTTTCTTTACGGTGTTTACTGACACACGGATAGCCTCAACTTTTTTCTTCTCCTCTGCCATCTTAACTCTCAATTTAGTCATTCCCTGTAAATGTTTCTCATCCTCATCGGTCATACGTTCATCATCTTGCGCATATGCCACACAAGTACAACACTGAAGAAGTACCAACAGGTACACCACGCGGCGCAGTTGGACGAACATCGTTGTCATGATTGTCACTGTGGGTTGCTTGGGTCTGTGGTAACAAGGAAGAAGAGAAGGAGAAACAACAAGAACACAAAGAGCAGTGCAAACACAACATCTACACAGACACACACAGGAAAAGCAGCGCAGTACATGAAGCAGAAAAGAGAATAAGGGAAAAGAAAACAAAAAGAAATATTTCCCCATCAGGTGCAGAACAAACCACACCCATGTGACTGCACTCCACGGACGCACAGACATGTCTCTTTCCAAGCCCCAATACAATTAAAACCCGTGTATATATATAAAAATATATAAAAATAGAAAAAAACAATTAATTATTTCACTCCCTTTTTAAGAGCCTGCATCACCCAATAAGTACATTTAGTACAAACGAGCATGCAGTCAAATGCCCAACAATATAGTTACAGTGAGGGAAAGGGAGACAAAACAAAACGAAAAAAAACTTACACAGTGAATCCAATTACAACAAAAAAACAAGCACACACAAGAGAGGGGAAAGTATATATATATCAATAGCTCTGCAGATGG